CTCTTCTTGCGTTTGGCACGGATCCTCATCGAGCAATGCCTCCAATTCAGCGTCTTCGAAGGTTTTTGGCCTTCCTTCACGCGGACGGTCGTCAACATCGAAATCACCGTCTTTGAAGCGACGGAACCAATCTCGGCACGTTGTTTCACTTAGAGCAGCATCTCCGTAAACTTTTTGGAGCTCTCGATGCGCTTCAGCCGCTGTTTTCTTCGAATGAAAGAAGAAAATCAATACTTCCCGCATATGACGATTATTTGGCACAAAATCAGACATTTTCACACAACCAAAAGAATATAACGTCAAAACAAAATCACTAATGTGTCGAAGCGGTTTGTTTACCATATGTCTAAGCTTGGTTCATGACGTTTAGATTATGTCAGAATCGACCAGCACTTACTGCTGGAACCATCTATTGACAAATATATAAGATTTAGTTCTCGTCCGTGAGCCCTGTCACTCAGGCGCTGCAAATCGTGATACACAGAGAACAATAGGAGTTGTAACCCCTTATCTAACATATTGCAACGCCATCTCTTAGAAAATCGAACGCCTACTGCTCTGTTTAAGATTACAAAATTTGTAAAATTTTAAATCAAGCTGGAATTATAATATATTGTAAAAAGAGATTGACTATCACTGTCTACGAATTTTATTACACTATTCTGACCCGCGCGCGCGCGTCCGACATAGATTTGACACACTTTCATAAAAATCTTATAGTAGTTTAAGGGAATGCTGGAAGGGCCGAATTACCGGGATTTTGCAGATCGATATAAATCTCCGAATTTACTGAACGGAATCAAAAATCCTTTATTTTTCAAAAATCCGACATTAATCTTAAACATCTGCGAAACTATAACTATACGTTTACACGGACACCCTTAACCGGGTTTAATATAATAACATCCGAGTTATGAAACTGGCCAATCATAACTATTCCTCTGAAGAACAGAATGACTGATTGATCAGTTTCTAACTATGGACGTTATTAAATCGAATTAAGGATGTTGTGTAAATGTCTATAATACAAGTAAAGAAAAATTAAAGGAAAGTGAAAAAAGGAAAGGAAGGAGCGGGAGAGAGAGAGAGGGAGGGAGGGAGATAGGGAGGGACAGAGGGGGGGCAGAGGAGGAGGGGAGAGGGGAGGGGGAGGGAAGAAGAAAGGCAGAGCTAGTTGAAGAAGGGGAGAGTTGAGAGAAAGGAAAGAAGAGAAAGAAAGAGAGAAAATAGAGAAAAAAAAGGAAAGAAGGGACAAAGAGAAAAGAAAGAAAAGATAGAGAATTAAGATTTTACAATAAAATTATGAAAGAATTATTGTAAAATTCACAAATAGAAATATAAAGTTTTTATTGACTTTTAATAGCAATTTTTTAATAGATACATTGATAATGAGACAATTTAATTTTGACATAACAATATATTTACATCTCAAACATAAAATTTTTAAATGCTACTTATAAAAAAATTAAAATTATATGTTATTCCTACTTATTCTTATACATGTAAGACAAACTTTAAAAATATTTAGAGGTGATATTGGCCTTTGAAACTTCGATTATAATTTTAATTTCGGGCATTATAATTTAAGGAAATCCTAAAATCATCTGTTTTACCGATTATTTTTCAAATAAGTATTTTTCTAACTACCTTTATACACACGCTCATACAAACACAGATTAAAAAAATCCTTTTTCACAATTAAAGTATAATGTAGTCCAAACTGAGATTGAGTCTATACTAAAAACAAAAAAGTCAGAAAATTACAGTTTTGTTATCAGCTTTTAGCGTTGGCGTAACTCGTAACAATAATCACTTTATATATTAGGTGTACAAAAAAGTTCTGAGCTTTTTTTGTAAAATTCATCATAAAATCTTTGTTCAAAAACAAACGAAAAAATATTAATCAGCGAAATATTCTCCGTTTGCATCAACGACCTTTTGCCATATTTCGGGTAGCTTGCGAATTCCTTGACGATAGAAACTCACCGGCTTCGAAGCAATAAAGTCATCAATGCATTTTCGTATTTCTTCTAATCTCACGAAATGTGTATCAGCCAAATGATGCTGCAGCGACCGGAATAGGTAGTAATCGGAAGGCGCCATGTCTGGGCTATACGCCGCGAAAGAAGTTCCCAGCCTAACGCAAAGATATGGTCCTGAGTCGCTTTCGCAACATGTGGTCGAGCATTGTCATGAAGCAAGATTACTTTACGACGTCCTTGGCCAATAAATGGCCTCTTTTCTTCTAATGCATCGCTCAAATTGGTCAATTGTTGTTGGTAGCGGTCTGTCGTGATTGTTTCACCCGGTTGTAACAACTCGTAGTACAACACACCTTTCCAATCCCACCAGATACAGAGCAAAACCTTCTTGGCGTGGATATCAGAAAATCTTTTTTCCGGAACTTTGAAAGCAAAGTGAGTGCAGTGTCACGCCGTCGATTTTTGTTGTCTTCGGACAATTCATACGGAACCCATCTGCCTTCCTTCTGAACGTAATCGTACGATGGGAAATGGCTTGCTGCGTAACGCTAAGCTGTTCTGCAAGCTCCTTTTC